GTCGCAAAGAAAAATATTTATTAATGAATTACTGCCCCATACAAAATTCCAATTATTTAAGAGCTTGAAGCCGGCAGCTAGGGGACTGGGTTTCAAGTATATGTGGCACGCGGGGAGCCGATTCCTGGTCAGACGTCGTGCGGGGGAGCGGGTGCACGTGATCACGTCGATGGAGGACCTGAAGGCCATTGGCGGCGGTGCTTCGAATGGCCCCATAGATATGACGAGGCCACCCGGCAGCGATCGCGAGGGTGTGCCGAAGTGACTATCCGCTGAAAAGGGAATGATGACTACAGACGTAAAGCGTTCTTTAAGGGTAGGGTTTCTCAATATTAACTCCATTAGGGCGCGTATTGAGAGACTCCGACTATTCCTGTCTGACAATCCGTCTTACCATGTGTTTGGGGTTGCGGAGTCGTGGTTGGGGCCGATTGTGGATGACAGCATCATTCGGATTGATGGCTACTCGGTGCTGAGAAATGATCGCAATACCGGGGGCGGTGGTGTCGCTCTCTTTGTGCGCAATGAGTTGAAGGTAAGGATGCTTGCGTCCTCTGCAACTACGGGGCCAGGTAAACCTGGTGTCCCAGAATACCTTTTTTGCAGCATAGAGATGAGTGGCTCACCGCCGGTACTTGTTGGTGTCATTTATAGGCCACCAAAGATTCCTATGCAAGGAAACGCCGGATTTTTTAACATCCTGCGGGATCTCAGTGCCGACTTCAGCCATAAGATCATCATGGGAGATCTGAATGCTGACCTGATGACGCAAATCGATGACGCTAATAGTATTAGGCGTCTGGCTGCTGAGCTGTCACTCCAGACAGTTCAGCACGGTCCTACTCACCGCACTGCGACCTCTTCCACGTGGATAGATGTGATGTTTGTTGATGACTGTGATGTTATTAAACATCACTCTAATGAGTGGTTGCCTCCCTTTGGCAAACACTCGATCATTGATGTATCAATCGATATTTACGCGCCGTCCCCGGTTAGATTTGACTTCACGTACCGTGATTATAATAGTGTTTGTCCGGACAAACTGGTGGATTTGTTGGCATCCTGCAACTGGGCGGAGTTTGATGTGGACGAACCAGAACTGGAAGGAGCCATTGGGCAATTAAATGCAAACCTGGAACTGGCTCTTGATGCCTTGGCACCGTTAAAGTCGGTGCGTTTAAATAAAAAATATGCTCCTTGGTTTGGTCCCGGGCTGAGGAGGCTGGTCGACAGGTGTGAGGCACTGCGCAGGCGATATAAACGCACAGGACGTGCTGATCTTCGCGATGAGCTTATTAGGCTTAATGGCGAGGTCGACGTGCGCATGGAGCAAGAGCGTAATTCCTTCCTTAGCAAGCACTTAACTGACGCTCTTGACAGTGGTAAAAATATTTGGAAGGAAATGCGGCGCGTTGGCTTGCTGCCGAAGAGCGGTGAGGAGGAGTTGCATGGCTTTACACCGGATAAGCTGAATGCCCACTTTGCGGGGGTGTCCGTCTCTCCGCTCGAGAACATTGATGATGTCATGGATGAATTAACAACTGCGAATGAAGAAGGTTTCACCTTTCGCCATATCGGGCGTAACAATGTGGCTAGAGCTGTTGCACACTTTACTACTCAAGCAACAGGAGTAGATGGATTCCCGCAGAAGCTGGTCATGAAGGCTCTTCCGGTTATCGGTGACCATCTTGTTAAATTGTTTAACTCCTCATTTGCCAGGGGTGCCTTCCCGAGTTTCTGGAAGCGGTCGCGATTGGTTGCTCTGAAGAAGATCGGAACACCATCTTCCACTTCTGATTTCCGACCGATTGCGCTGCTCTGCTTCCTGTCGAAGGTACTTGAGAAGCTGGCCCATGATTAGATCACGGAGTATTTGAGTAATAATAACATTCTTAATCCCTTTCAGACTGGTTTCCGAAGGCATCATAGTACTCAAACGGCCTTGCTGAAGCTGACTGATGACATACGCATGTCTATTGACAAAGGCAAAGTAGCACTTTTGCTGCTATTTGACTTCAGCAAGGTCTTTGACACCATCTCTCCGTCAAAGTTGCTGTGCATGCTTCGCTCAATGGGCTTTTCAAGGTCGGCTTTGCTTTGGATCAAGTCATATCTGCAGGGTCGCACCCAACGGGTATCCTCTAAAGCGGGCGACTCGGGGTGGCTTGAAACCAATCTGGGTGTCCCGCAGGGGTCCGTTTTAGGACCTCTACTTTTCTGTCTTTTTGTCAACGACCTGCAAAATGTGATTGCTGATCGGGGCATTAGCCACATCTTGTATGCTGACGACTTGCAGATCTACATGAGTGTGAGCAAGGGTATGCTTCATGAAGGAATATCGCGGTTGTCGCGTGTGGCGCGTTTAGTGTCTGACTGGGCGGAGTGCTCCGGCCTGCGGCTCAATGCTGGTAAGACAAAAGCAATTATCTGTGGTTCGAGACCGAACATTAACACCCTAAACAGTGAGTACTTGCCAGGCGTGGAGGTGCGGGACGGGGTCTTCGTTCCTTTTCGAGATGAGGTGGTCAGTCTGGGTGTGACGCTGGACAGCAAGCTGTCTTGGCGGCAGCATATAGACCAGGTGGCCAAAAAGGTAAATAGGGCGCTGTACAGCTTGCGCTTTATCAGGGCTTGCACAACTTCATCACTTAGACGGAGATTGGTCGAGTCCCTGGTTCAGCCGCATCTGGACTACTGCGCGGTCGTGTGCCTGGATGCGAGCAAGGAACAGCTACAAAGGCTGCAGAGGCTCAGTAACTCCTGCATCAGGTATATCTTTGGTGTCAGGAGGGATGAGCACATAACTCCTTACAGGAAACGGCTTGGCTGGTTCCTCTCCAATTCTCGCAGAAATTACTTTTTGGCGGTACTGTTGTACAAGGTTCTGCGAATGAGGGAGCCACAGTACCTATTCCATTTATTTGCCTTGCACGTGTCCAGGTACCCGGGGAGGGGCTGTAGCGAGAGGGCCGAGCTGAAGGTGCCATCGGTGAGCACTGAGGCTGCACTAAGATCATTCGGGGTCGCGGGGGCGCGATACTGGAACTCCCTTCCTCAGTCGCTCCGGCAGCTTCCGACGCTTGCCTCATTCAAGGTAGCGGTTCGGGGGTACATCCTGAGCCTAGACAGTGGTCCGGAGGGTCGGGGTGGAGTGGCCAACGGTGTGGCCGTACGGGCCGACTAGTGTTTTTGACTCGGCAAACTTAGCCTCGATTAATGTAACTCCTGACTGTGCAATCAGCACTTAAAACATCAAACACCGGAGTTTTAGATAGAAATCAGCAAATGAACAACACGTCGTCTCATCTGTTGGCTGTTAATTAGTATGTTATATGACTGATTTTACTTTGTTTTATTTTATTTTATGTTGTATGACTAATCAATTTTTATGTTATACGACTGGTTTTGATTTTATGTGTATGACTCATTCTAATTTTTATGTATGTGACCTACCAAAACTTTATGATATGTGACTTACTGGAAATTTTATGTCATACGACTTTAATTGCTGACATGTTATAACTGTACTATTGTTATTAGTTACACTACATTTGTATTGTAACTAAATTTGTAATTTTTACCGTGGAGTAAATAAAGTTTGTTCTATCTATCTATCTATCTATCTCTCTCTCTCTCTCTCTTTCTCTCTCGGTGAGTAGCGGCACACTGGTTTTTGAGGTGCTCTTCTTTTGTTAATATTTCCTTACTCTTGCCACTTCCTCGAGTGGCATACTTTTGCAGGCGAGTTCGTCTAACTGGCCTCTGCGCTTCCTGCTAAAAATTCTTGGCTTTTAGTCAATTTTTTGTCCAGTGGATGAATTATTCGCTCGCCTAGTTATAACGCAACCTTCACCAAATCACTAACTTTAACGAGCTTTCGAGCTACACATCACTGGCTAGAGCATGGATTAAGAGGGCGACTTGCGAAAACCTAATGCCAGTGCCGGCACTGTCCGATTACATTCGCATACCAAACAAGGTCAATCCATTCGCGTTCTTCCCAAATTATCCAACCTTCCACAAATACTCCACTATCAACCTTTGGTTCATTAAATTGCTAATCAAACTTAGCTGTTTTTAGCCAAATGTACGTCGCTTTCCTTTTACATCTCCTCCTTTCAGTCCGTCTTGTAAAATAGGTGCCATCGCGTTTTTATTATTTATTATTTTTTATTATTTTTTAATTGTTTTTATTATTTTTATTACTTTTATTATTTTTATCGTCTTTATTATTCTTATTACTTTTATTATTTTTATTATTTTTTATCTTTAATTATTGTTATTTTGGTTGTTTTATCTGTTATATTCATTATATTTTTATTTTTATATATTTTTACTTTATTATATGTACATATTTTATTCTATTTCCATAATTATATACGTTTCTAAGTCGCCTTATTATTATTGCCATTGTAAACTCGCTGCTCACCGTACATACAATTCATGCATTTATCTGAACTTATCTTCTTTAAATAGTCAAATGCGTTAATATTTATTCTTACATCTCTTATTCTGTCATTTTATAAATTTTGTTATGTTTGATTTGTACATTTCTAAACTGTCAGACGTGGTTCCACCTCAGTGGGGCAAGAAACGAACTAATCTAATCTAATCTCGTCCTATTCCGTAATTTGTTAAATAACAATTTTAAGTATACATTCTTGAAAAGTTGAAAAACAGTATAGTTTTTAAAATTTTAATCCTTAAAATCAGATTTATATATAACTTTAAAATTTATATATAACTTTAAAAATCGAACGAATTAAACTAATCCAATGCTGTTTTTGTTACACGTCGTTTTCTTTGACAATCACTGAGAAGGGACGTCCTTAAGTCGTAAGGGGGAATCCTTGTAAAAATAAAGTATTCTCTAGTATATACACACACACTCACACAATCTGTCTCTTGTTTTAATTTTATTTATATTCATATTCATATTGTATGAAATAGTTAAAATTAGTTATATAAGTTTCTTTTTTAATATTCATTATTATTTTTAGTTACAAAGATTTACCTGGAAATCCACTAAAATGTACATTTGACGGTACTTTGAAAGAATTAGTGGCTAATTGTAAACCTAAAACAAAAAAAATATTTTATCAACAACTTAGTATTCATGTTAATGAACTTGAAAATAAAAAACAATTCAAATGTATTTGGGTCGGCTCATCATTAAAAGAAGAAAAAGAAATGATACTTTATCCAAATAAAAATGGTACTGTCTTAAACCTATTAGAAGAAGCGCAAAAACAAATCGAGTTATCCGAATTAGGTTCAGGAAAACTAAGGATAGTTGAAATTATTAGTAATAAATTACAACCAGGTCCAAAAGACGATGTACTATTAGAAACGCTTAATACAAATGGATCCAGACAATATCGAATTGAAGAAGTACCAAAAGATGAAGTATCCTTACTAGATGATGAAATATTGGTACCTGTTGCTCATTTTTACAAAGATGTTTATTCGACGTTTGGTATACCGTTTTTTTTTAAAATCAAGCACGTAAGTATAATTATATAAAATATTCATTTTAATATGAGATTGATACTTTGTAAATTATCTATACTTTTTGAGAATTTATGCATAAGAAAGAATGATAGTTCCAAGAAATTTAAAATTCCACAGTCATATTTTTTTTTAATTCAAAAATAATTATTATATTTTATAACAAGATAATTAGTAGATTGTAGAGGAATAAGAGAGAGAGATCGGTAACATCGACTAATCGAAGATTGCCGAGAGGGCCCAGACCGTGATTAAGCAAACTACGAGACCTCGTGCAAGCGCACCTCAGGCTGTCGTAACTTTTCGTCCTGCTACGCTCAACGCACACGGACACGAGTTACTTCGGTCATTTCTCTCCATGTGCTCAATTCGACGAAATTCTAGGATCTACCTCCAGTCAGCAGGCCTGCGACGGGGAATGTGCGACGAAGCCCTTTCAGGCATAGCCGGCGTCTGAAAGTAAAATCGACTAGGTCGCGTGCTTGACTATGCCAGAGCGAAATCACCCTCCTCGATGCGCGATACGTGTGCTTGGAAGTAACTACACCTTCGCGCTCTCTCTCTCTCTTTCTCTCTCTCACGCACGGTACTATTGTTTAGTGGTTCGGAGCTTCGGCGGAAGCTCCATATTATATATAACAATATACTGTTTTGTATGAGACTGACAAGTAACCCTACTCAACATCGATAGAACACTGCAAAATATCGAACCCGTGTTTTTTTCATCTCTTAGAAATTTTTCAGCTCTAAGAAATCTTAATGTTTTCAGCATAAAATGAAATTGTATGTATACTCATCATCTAAACTCATCCTTTCAAAGCTTCTCACATAATCAACTTAACCCAAATAACATTGTCACTAAAAATTTATCTCACTCCGAAACCAATCCACTCCCCTATATAGAAATTAATCGACTAACAAATCCATCCTAATTAAACCTCTTAATTTTTGCGATTCGTTAATCAGCCGAATGTCCAGGCTAGAACTGGGTTGCATCTTGCCTGTCACGTTTATGGTGCTTGATTAGTGTAAGTCCCCTTGCCTCTAACATACTTTACCTCTTACGAAAATATATTGTATCAAAGGATGTCCTTCATTTTACAAGTTCATGACAATAGTGAGGTGAATTGTCTTCATCAATCACAAAAAATATTGTATACATAAATTTTTTGAATACCAAGCGCATTTAATAATCGCAAATCGGCTGCATAGTACACATTTTGTATCAATATTCTGAAAGAAGTATTCAACGGTAGTTTCACATTTATCAAGTTTATCTGTTACGTAGCTACATTTCTACTATACATATTTAAATACTTAAAATGTTATATCGCAAATAGAGATTTATTTTTAAATTGTTTAATATTACCACATCAGAAAAGCATTTGTCGATATTTTCCATGGTTTAACCCATTTCTTCCCAAGGCGCCATTTATAGTCGATTTGTTTTTGACCGAGGAAAACCTCAAAATAATCGAAAATGTATACTAGAAGTCACTTTTCTATTGTAAAATTTCCCGCTCTTTACGAATCTGCAGTCAGAATTAGGATATTTTTCACGGAAAATTACAAAATGGCGTCTTGAATGTTGATGAAAATTTAGTATTACATTAGAATTTTCCTTTCAGAAATTAGTTGCTGAAATTTATAGAATCAGGATTAAAATGTAGATTTACATTGAAAATGTTAGTTCTTTGATAAACCTAGGCATTACAAATTTTCCTGGAACATTTTTCCAAGATGGCAGCCAGCAACATATTGACAAGCGGGGAAATTTAAAATTTTCTGAATAAAAGCCGATTTAGAGAATGAATATATACTACCTATACTTTCGATGTCGCTGAATACAATGCTAGTGTCAATTTCAATTTTACAAAATGGCGGATCCAATATGGCGTCGGTAATACCAAAATCAGTTTGTGTTGATAAAATCGCAAATCTAAGTGCTACATTTTGTCTTGAATTTTTAGCACTTTTTCTAGTATTTTCCAAAATAATTGATGCAATAGTGGAAGAAATTATTCATCAAGCGTACCTGTTTTTTCAAGATGGTAAGAGTCAAAGCAATTTGCACATAGATACTCTTGACATTGTTCGCAATAAATATTCGTACGTTTCTTGCAGTCATTGCTAGCTTTGCATATTCTTTGTGAAGATTTTGTGGATTTATTGTGGATATGATGATACTCTCTGAAACAAGTATCACAGAAATGAGTTTTGCACTCATAGCAATAAAATATTGTTCTTATGGTACACTTTATACACATTCGTCTACGATCAGGTATTGTGAGTTTCAAATGCTTTGATAACTTTTCAATCGGTTGCTCTAAATAAGACTTTGCAACACTTTTTGCAAAATCTTTACTAGACATTCTCTTTTTGTTCACCATATTGTACAAAATCAAAACATTTGTCAGTGAAGACTCGATCAATCTACATAAAATATCCCATGTCCATTTCTTTGAACCAATATTCGTTTTTAGATCACTGCAGTATTGATCATGAAGATCAACTCTTCCCATAAATTTGTTGTATGTCTTGAATGCTCCAGGAAATTCAATTGGTACTTTACGTTTAGCTGTTTTATCGAATCGTTCCATTGGAATAGTAGGTGTAACGCCAACGGCTGTAGATAATATGAGCACTGGTTTCGAGTCCATTACCGTAATGTAATTTATACCACTGGTTTTATCATGACTTACAACATAAGATCCTCTAACAGCTTTCTTTTTATCTAGTTTATGTTTATCTATCAATGTCTTCTGTTCGGGATTTTTGATCAATGTTTTCGAGTTTTTACTTGATTTATCCAACACTTTTGGAAACATCTCCTTTGTAAAAACACGATCATCTCTAACCGTACCTGTTGCACGCAGGTTTTGTTTTTTCAAGTGTACCAGTAAATCAGGGGGTGTGAAAAATCTATCAAAATATAGATGATATTTAGCTACATCATTCTTATCGACCGATGTTAGAAAAACATGAAGCATATTCATCACTTCCCGAGATCCTAAACTGCATTTAGAGAACTTCGTGTCACTTTGACAATCATTTTTTCCACAATAGATATCTATTTCTAAAACAAATCCATTAGAAGTACAAAGGACCCATAATTTTATTCCAAAACGTATTGGTTTGTCTTTGATGAATTGTTTTAGAAGCGTGCGACCGAAAAATTTAATCATCATTTCATCTATTGATAAAGAAGAGCAAAAAAATCCAAACTGTTTTACATTTTCTCTGAAAATGTTTAAAATTACACGAACTTTCCAAACTTTGTCATTATCAGTCTTATCCGAATTTTTCGAAGTTTTCAAATTAGACTTAATTTTTTCAAACAAATTTCTATTCATCGTTTCTGAAACAACATCAGAATGCCACATTTCATCAGTCGACCAGTAATCTCTATAGCTTTTACGAATATTGGAAGTGGAAAAAATGATAATACCTAAAAATTTGTTAAATGATCTGGATCTAGTTCAAATCCATTTTCAGTTGTCGCTTCAATAATGTAATCTCTCATTCTATCACAAAAAAACATTTCAAATAATTCTCGAGGTTCCTTTCCTAGTACATTTTGTTTTATTGCTTCAAAATTATATATTTCTGATTCAAGTTGAACATCGTATGGTCTTTGTGGATCTATCCATTCGTATTTATGTGAGGCTTCTAACTTTTTCTCGTTCGCGGAAAAATTTTGATACACTTCTTCATAAGATAAGGCTACTGCATCAGTGAATCTAGAAGTTCCATCAGCTTCTCCGTCATTATCGAGACCTTCTACGTCACTATTATCATCATCGGGTACCCACATAACTTCATGATCATTTTCATCTTCATCACTATGATCATTGTTTTCTACAACACTGCTATCAACACTGGCATTTCTCATCGACTTACGTTTCGGCATGATTTTGCCAGTTTTATGAAACTTCTTTTAGAGTCCGAATCTGATAAATATTTATCTTGAAAAAATACTCGGTGAATAGTAAAGCTCGCCAATTATCCTGAAAAGGACTATTGGAGAGACAGCCGAAGAAAAGAGTGAATATGCTCCAACTATCTTGAAAAAGACCATTAGAGAAATACGCACTTTTCAATCCTCCACAAGATGGAAAATCTCGCCAATTATCCTGAAAAGGATTATTGGATTGCCGAAGAAAAAGAGTGAATATGCTCCAACTATCTTGAAAAAGACCGTTAGAGAAATACGTACTTTTCAATCCTCCGCAAGATGGGAAAGTTCGCCAATTATCCTGAAAAGGACTATTGGAGAGGCAGCCGAAGAAAATATGAATATGCTCTAACTATCTTGAAAAAGACCGTTATAAAATACACACTTTACAATACTTGAGAAGACAAAGGATTTATCCAACTGTAGGGACAAAGAATCCAGAAAAAAATATAGTAATTAGATTCGCAATTTTATCAACATTACCTGATTTTGGTACTACCGACGCCATATTAGATCCGCTATTTTGTAAAATTGAAAACGGACATTAGCATTGTATTCAGCGATATCGAAAACATAGGAATTGAGTACCCACTCACTAGTGCTCATCATTTTAGTATTAACGACGCCATATTGGATCCGCCATTTTGTAAAATTGAAATTGACACTAGCATTGTATTCAGCGACATCGAAAGTATAGGTAGTATATATTCATTCTCTAAATCGGCTTTTATTTAGAAAATTTTAGATTTCCCCGCTTGTCAACATGTTGCTGGCCGCCATCTTGGAAAAACGTTCCAGGAAAATTCGTAATGCTTAGGTTTATCAAAGAACTAACATTTTCAATGTAAATCTACATTTTCATCCTGATTCTATAAATTTCAGCAACTAATTTCTGAAAGAAAAATTCTAATGTAATACTAAATTTTCATCAACATTCAAGACGCCATTTTGTAATTTTCCGTGAAAAATATCCTAATTCTGACTGCAGATTCGTAAAGAGCGGGAAATTTTACAATAGAAAAGTGACTTCTAGTATACATTT